TTATGTTTTTCATGGGTTCAAAACAAAGTTGATTATTTCTCGGTTAGAGCAGGATTAATTAATATTGTTCTTTAATGGAGGAAATAATATTGCTTTTTGCAAATACACATCACAGTATCAAAGCTACTATTTTGTTACGTTTTTTTCCAAAAATGTTGGATGTCTCTGGGGAGTTGCATGCTTGTTATGTCTTTACTTATGGAGTTGTATGGTTTGATTGTGTTTCATTCTCAGTTTATTCTGAACTTGCCAAGATTAAGAAAGGCAAAAGAGTTTGGGTGTTCTTAACAAGATTTCAGAACGTTGCAGAAGTTAGAAAATTCATTCAATGTGAAGTTAGAAAATTCACAATTCCAATGTGACAGCGTGCCCTAATTCAGAACTACGAACGATCCATGACGATCCTTCGCGATACAGTGCATGGTCTCATGAAATAAGGAAACGTATTCGTGCTAGGAACATACGCGGATTTCGGACGAATAAATCTTGCTTGTATTTTGTAGATAATAATACTTTGTTTCATAATAAACAATTTGTCAAGTGTCATTTATTTACAGGTAATAGTGCATGTTTCAGTCGGGTAAATCTTGATTAACATTTGATACGCTGTTTTTGGCATATTTCAGACACATGAAGAAATATGCTCCCGATTTTAAACATTAATATCTCCGTGAATTTTTAAGTGAAATACAACTGTAATATAACAAAATCTAAGTTAGTCCTTCCTCTATTTGATGCAAGTTATTTCTCTTTAAAAGCTTTACTTGTTTAGAAGTTATTTCGAATCAAACCGGAGTACTTTTTTTTGGGACACCCGGTAGACAGTTGAAAGGTTTAACTGGATCCCAGATCATTGTTCCACCATTCTGACATTCATTCACTTCTCTTCTGCACGATGCCTGCAAAATAGTTCATTGCAAGAACACATAGTGTAAACATACAGGTATCTATTTTATAGACCGACAAAGTTTAAATATCAGACAAGTTTTGTTTCTTTTACAATAGTGGATTCATATTTAAACCAACATTAGAACATCCTAATTCCCATTTAGTTGAATGTCTGCAGTGCATTTTGATCAAGCAACGCGCATATGGTTCAAAGCTCAAATCAGTGCAGTGTGTCCAAAAAAAGTACCCTCTATAGAAATTATTCTATTGTTATCATTTGAATGCCTGAGCACTATGCTGAACACAAGAGTGCGTAGACACAATTCAATTGAATTTTTAATTACCAGTCGCATAAAATCCTGTGCTTAACAACAATAGGATAATTTCTACATATACAGGGAGTATAAAAAACCGCAACCTCGGAATTTCCCAAGAAATCGACATTGTTTTAAAGACAAAAAATTTTAGGTGCCAGGGAATTTAAAATAGCATAACTGTCAAAATTACTGCACACGCGAGTGCATAAAGCAAAATTTATGCATTTATTTAATCACAACAACAGTAATATGATCTATAAGCAATTCGATTTCAATTCCCAGGGGCCTACAATCTTTTATGCTTAAGAATTGCAAAGTGATTTCTTAGGAAATTCCGAGGTTGCGTTTTTTTTTATACACCCTGTAGAGGGTACATTTTTGGGACACCCAGTATAGTAAAAACACGACAGGTTTATGTAAACTTGTGGGAAAAATGAAACCTCATGTTCAAAACCTCGTGCATGTCCAACTTAGAAAAAGGGCAACATACATCTGCTAAAAATGTTCAGCCTTTATCTCGCATTGAGATCAGAGCGATCAAATTTAGGCCGGGTTCTTTAAATAATTGGACGTATATTAGACGGCCGGCCAAAACCGCAAAATGTGCAACAAAATTTTGTTTGATGGCATTTTCTGTTACAAGCTACCAACTGACATTTTCGTAGAGTATGTGCATTAACGATCAAGACTAGACATGTTGGCAACTCTAATTTTGGCTTTATAGATGAAAATTTGAGAATTTGAAAATTTTGTCTATAAAAAGTACTATGATGAGAAAAATGCAAAATTACAAGTTCACATTTAACAAAAATAAATTATACCATTAGAAAGTTTGCAAAAAAGTATATATAAGACATTTAAGCGAGTAGTATGATTTTTGTAGCCAATTTTGTGCTTTTAACACCGGAAAATGAAAAAAAAACGCCAATTGATGCCGATAGTTACTATACAATCATTTCGCTTTATCATTATATTTCCCAGAAAATATTGGCTACCAGGTGGGGGAGACGAGTGGGGGAGGGGGGGGTGCTAAATGTTCTTTCGGCCTAAATACTCTGTTGACATTGTGTGTATAACTATACTGTATATTACTGTGTATAAGTAATGTCAATTGTTAAATACTGTAATGTATATAACATACTACGTATTGTAATACTTGTTGTGTCGTATTATGTACTCCGTTGTATGTATTGTATACTTTGTTATCTTATAATCAAACTCACTTGTAGCATAGAAGAGCCACTATGTGGGAATGCTATTAAATCATTATTATTATTTTATTTTTTATTATTATGTATTTGCTTACCACCTGACTTCGGTCAACATTATCTTTGATGAACGTCCAAACCCGATCTTTCTTGCTTGCATTATTGTCAAATTTATGTTGAGTCGTATTTGTTAATTGACAGTTCCATTCATTCCCCTCAGACTTCTCCTTGTAGTTGAATGCAACACAGAAACGGTGCTCTGCGCAATTAAGGCCGCAAACCTCATACGTTGGTTCTCTCAACTGTGCGATGATGTTTGTTTTTAAACTAGTCACATCTAAAAAAATATTCATTTATTTATTCTCGGGTTTCATATGACGTGACGTGGTGGTCAGGGGTCCGTGGCAAGGGTAAAGGACGGCTTTTACGTTGTCTATATTGTTTTATATTGGCTTTTATAACAGTCGGAGAAACTGAATTTTGTGTGAAGTTTTCCTGCATAGCCAGCTTATGCCTGATTTTAGGGTCACACCTAACGCCCGCGCATAAAATATGCATAATAATCAGCTGACGTTCTGAAGTTGAGTTGAACACATCAATATACCGAGAAATTTATTATTCCACCATGCAGGACATTATTACACAGTTTCTGCTTCGTATTTAGGTACATTACAATTTAAAGTTTACAATCATGGTGCAAACTAAATTTTTGCGGAAATGCCCGAAAAGCCCCGCGCCCGATTTTAAGGTCACCCCGCTAAAAAGAGCGCGTGCTTTTAAATCTTGCGAGCTGGGTTCGAGCCAACGACCTAAGGAACTATAGTCCCCCGCTCTGCCAACTGAACTATCGCAAGTGAGTATTTTAATCACGCAAAAAACCTTCAAAATACCTGTACAAATCCAAGCGAAGATGTGGCTATAGCTCCGCTATACTATTATTATTATTATTATTATTATTAATGATCTTTAAACACGGTAACCTTTCACATAGGTGATTTTCAAAGGGCCGTGCGGAAAATAAATGCATTATAAAAGAAGGAACTAATAAACTAAATTATACTTATTTACAAAATATACTTATTTACTTATTTACTTATTTACTTATTTACAAGATGTAATTATTTAATAGATGATGGACAGATTTTAAACTTGTTGATTCTCTTAGGGTTTTCAACAAGTTTACTGGGATGTTGTTCCAATACGCTGCTCCTCTGTACGAAAAGCTATTTTTCAAGAAATTCGTTTTTGGTTTAGGTTGAGACAGCTTTAAATTACTACTGCGCAGTACGTAACCATTGTTTTCGCAAGTGTGAAATAGTTGTGTTACGTATTCTGGAAGCATGCCATTAATCGCTTTAAATGTCATAAGGAGATCTCGCTTTTTCAAAACTAAGTCAAGAGGTTTCCAGCTAAGTTTTTGAAAAATGTCCGAAGATCTTATAGTATAGTCCGAATTTGTTATTATTCTTGCTTCTCGTTTCTGAAGCTTATATAATTTGTCTAAGTGTGTTTGGTTGTTATTTTGCCAAACAGTTGAACAGTAGTTAAAATGAGGCGCGACTAATGCGTTATACATAATTTTGAGCGTATCTAGGCCAACAAAATCTTTGGCTTTTCTTAGGGAGCAGTCATTATTAATGCCGGCGGAAGATATTTGGGGGGGCCACCAAAAATTTATCAACCAGTTAGGGGGGGCTACCAAAAATATCAAAGAAAAGTAGGGGGGGCCACCAAAAATAATTAGCAATTATTCGCCAAAGGCGAGGTGATTATCGGTGAATAAAAACCAAGACGAAGTCGATGTTTTTATTCACGATAATCACCGAGCCTGAGGTGAATAATTGTTTCAGGATAATTTCATAGGTGATTATTTGAAAAAAAATTTAAAAATGCACATTTCTTCGTCTTTCAATTGACAAAACGGCTTCGGCCGCATTTTGAAAATCGCTTATGTGATTATCACGTAATAATCATCTCAACGGTAACCAATCAGCGTGGAGAATTTTCAATAATCACCTATGTAATTATACTAATGTACAATAATCATGAAACATCAGCATTACAGTTCACTGTAATATAAATGTCAATGCAATATAAGTATAGGTAATCACACAGGAAGGAGTGCAATTAATTATATTAACACTACGAGTGATATTTGAAAAATGCGCCAAAATTGCACAAGCTGTTAATTAATTGCCAGTGTTAATTGCACGACTTGCCCGAGTGATTATTTATTTTATGCATAGCATGATGAAATTCAATAAAATTCAACTTCATTTTGTCAAGAGTTTTTAATTCTTTTGTAAGCAATTTGGCATAAAAAAAACTTGGGAAATGATTATAAACTCATAAAGGCACATAATTTAAACTATATGGACAAATGATTCAAACTCAAATAACATATGAAATTATTAAGAAAATCTTTATAAATTGTATTTATACACTTACATAGTCACGTTTCGGTTTCGCTGCATCTCGTCGAGATTATTTCTTAAAACTGTTTCCAGGTATTCTCCACAGGCTCTTTTTGTCATACTATGTTTTTTAAACTCATTCTTGTGCCAAAATTTAGTTCAATTGAATTCGTCCATGTGGTTTTTATACAAGATAAAGATAAATTTCCCCGCCATATTGGACTTGTTGTTTTGATTTCCCGCTCCCCCCAGTTATCGAAAATCAAGCACCACAGGTAGCCCAAGACGTCGCTTGCGAGATTGGGCCGCCTGTGATCTTAGTATAACAAGACGCTCTGTGGAGCGTTAACTCGCTGGGGCTATACAACTACGCACATTACTGTACAATGTACATGATACATACAGTACACAGCTCTTTCAATTGAGATTTAAGGTTTTCCCCGAGCTAAGCGGAAAAGTCGAATACGAGCGCGAAAGGCTAATAACACAGTACTAAAATGGTGATTGCTAGATAGTATACTTCAAAATAAGGTTTCCGTTTTTATAACGTAGAAAAAACTATCCTAACGCAAACCTAAACCCTAACCCTAATACTAACCCTAACCCTAACCTCAACCCTAACCTAACCCTATCTTATTTTAAAAATAGAATAAAAACGGAAATCTTATTTTGAAGTATACTATCTAGCAATTGCCGTACTAAAATGCGGTAGGCCCTACAAGTAAAGTTACTTAGTACGCTACATTCTTCTTCAAAACTGTCAGCCGCTAGTTGGTCTAGGATTAAACCGCGCTTGAAAACGTTCAAAATAAAATATTTTTGGGCTCAAAATACTATCAAAATGAAGCGAGAAGTGAGACGAATCCACTGGTATACGGCCGAAAAAGAGAAAACCAATGATGCCAAAGTTATCAAGGGTCAAACGTACTGCATTTTTTTTATAATTAGTTTAAGAATATTGAGCGATTGGCAACATTACAATTTCGCTTGGCTTTCAAAGACAAAGGCCATAAATCGCTAGAACACTGTTGTTTAGTAATACACTTGACATTCGTAATTAGTACAATTTCTAACGCTGAATCGAACGGTGGTATTTTTATCTTTATTGACTGGGCCATTAGGCATTACAAAACACTATGAAACGCACTGCGAGCGATTTTTCAACAATACAATTTCGCTTCATTTTCAAAGGCCATAAATCGCTACAATACTGGTGCTTAGTAACACATTTGACATCCGTAAGTACAATTTCTTACGCTGAATCGAACGGTGGTATTTTTATCCTTATTGCGCCATTAGGCATTACAAATACAAGGACAAACCTGTGGACAAACGTACTGCGAGCGATATTTCAACAATACAATTTCGCTTCATTTTCAAAGGCCATAAATCGCTAGAATACGGGTATTTAGTAATACACTTGACATTCGTAAGTACAATTTCTTACGCTGAATCAAACGGTGTTTCTTTCTTCTCAAAATATAAAACAGCGCAGTCAAACGTAGCCTGCGAACAGGCTCACTGGGAGAAAGGTGAGCCTGCACGGAACCATGCGTTTTATTCATTCCACCCCTTTTCGCATCTGCTAAACGCGAACCAATCAGCGTCGACTTAGTCGAGGACCTGTATATGAGTTTGTATGCATTTCATTTAGGACAGATAATCTCAACTGTTTTAGGGCAAGTTGACCATGACGGTCAACATGGTAACGCTGCCCAAACCCCAATCCGGGACGAAACGTCCGAAACTGACCACACCCAAAAACGACGCTTTCGCCATACTGCTATCTACCAAACCATAAAAGCTTTGGCTATTCTGAGGTGCTTATATGGTTCAGAGATGGTACTTTTGGGGTGGTCATTGGTAAGTGTGAAATGCCTAGCACTAATATTTCACAAGAAAATGACCATGCAATAATCATAGTTAAACGTCAATTTGTGGCTTGCAACTTCAGATAAACAGCAGTCGACTTACATTACCTTTTTCCCTAAATCTTTTTGATAGAAACATAATTGGTACTTATTTAAATATATTATCACTGGTTTGGTGTAAATAGTTAATATTTTCTGACCGAAATAATAATTTGAAATGTGCCTACCTCCTGCAAATGGACGTATTTGGCCAAGTTCTCCACTATACTCCGCTGTTTATCGGCGATCTCGTCGACATCCTACAAAAAATGTAAATCATCTCAGACATAATGGTATCAAGAACATTTTAAACAAGTTTCAACTTGGTTTCAAGTAGGTCATACCTGTTTAACCATCGACAAGGTAAATCCACAACTTTGTCCAAATTCGGCGCCATTTTGTCATCCCATGTCGGTTGTCAACAATTCGGCCTTGTTACTCTTCCATTCACGCCATATCCATTGCACCAATAACAAATTTAACCCTTTGTTAAGGGTATTAAAATAAAAATACAAATGAAATATGCGAAATGCAGCATTTTATCACCCGGTAAAATGTTGCTTACGAGTCCTTCAAAACATTTCGTACAAATCTCGCGTGGTTTAGCAACAGGGACGTGACAGGGGGGGTAGAGACTTGAAAAATGAAAGCAAAGCCCCACACAGTATCGTAAAACCATTAAACCAACAATCAGCATTTAATTTGTATGACTTGTTCATATTAATAAATAATAATATGTATATATTTGTCGCTACAAGAAATAAAACAAACGTTTGTATGATTGTCTTTAGCTTTTAGTCTATTTCACGCAGCCTTCTTCTATCTTCGTGAAATAATTCACCCCCCCTGTCACGTCCCTGTTACTTTGTCACGCGAGATTTGTACGGAATGTTTTGAAAGACTCGTGAGCAAGATCTTACAGGGTGATAAAATGCTGCATTTCGCATATTTCATTTGTATTTTTATTTTAATACCCTTAACAAAGGGTTAAATTTGTTATTTGTGCAATGGAAATGGCTTGGATGGAAGAGTAACTAGGCTGAATTGTTAACAAGCGACATGGGATGACAAAATGGCGCCGAATTTGGACAAAGTTGTGGATTTCCCTTGTCGATGGTTAAACAGGTATGATCTACTTGAAACCAAGTTGAAACTTGTTTAAAATGTTCTTGATACCATTATGTCTGAGATGATTTACATTTTTTGTAGGATGTCGACGAGATCGCCGATAAACAGCGGAGTAAAGTGGAGAACTTGGCCAAATACGTCCATTTGCAGGAGGTAGGCACAATTCAAATTATTATTTCGGTCAGAAAATATTAACTATTTTACACCAAACCAGTGATAATATATTTAAATAAGTACCAATTATGTTTCTGTCAAAAAGATTTAGGGAAAAAGGTAATGTAAGTCCATTGCTGTTTATCTGAAGTTGCAAGCCACAAATTGACGTTTAACTATGATTATTGCATGGTCATTTTCTTGTGAAATATTAGTGCTAGGCATTTCACACTTACCAATGACCACCCC